GACACGCTGACAATAACAACCATTCAATAAAATGGGCATAGCATAAAAACATTACTTTGTATGATCGTTCAAAGTCGGAGAACCTGTGTCTCCAAAAGTTTGCATCTCTATTTCTTGCTCTCTTGCAGAATGCCCAACAGACTTTTTTGAATGATTTGCTTTGGTATGAATTTTCCCAAAAGGAGAACTTGGCACTTCAATATTGTTAGGTGTACTTGTTGGGGTCTCGACCCTAGCATCTAGCTCGTCAAGTTCAACGAAGTTTGTTGAATCTGGATCATTCCCAAAGCTTTGATTAGTTGTATATCCGAAAATGATTGTCAAAGGCAGTATAAATTTTCTCCAGAAGTATGGAAATATTCTTCCTAAGACACGGTCTAAGAGATACTCAGAGAAATGTCCTAAACTACGCCCTAGAAGCACAGCCAAATCTGGAACCATAGATATACACCAAACGATGATGTCCAATACAACTAAACGCTCAAGTTAGCAAGAAATTCAACGTACTTCAATTTGCTTTTCCGATGAATGCAAATCACTTACGAGAAATCAAAACAGCGGAAATAAAAAATAAGACTAAAATCAATCCACCAAGCAAAGGTAAAGCAATTTCCTTAGACAAAGATGAATCCTTTATAAACTCTGACAATTTGTCAGAATATTTGAAAAGTAAAAAGAAAATAAAAGCAGCCGTATAAAGATAACACATAAAACATCGAAAATATCCTGCTTCTTTCAATGTGCCCGCTGGTGCTAGTCGGGGACGTACCGGCATGCAGATGCAATCGAGGATACAGCTTCCCCATGATCTGTCTGGCACGGGTTCTGCCATGCGTCCATGCACTTCATTCGTATGGACTTGATTATCATCAGATTCGTCTGTATTACTCAGTTGAAGTTGTTTATAGGTAGGAGGAATAGGTGTAAACAAACCCTTCTCCAAGTCATCTCCACTGTTATAACAAACTTCTGAGTAACTTGGCAAATCCAATTGAACTGAGCTTTTCCTCAAAATGTCGTATTCAGAGAAATTGGTGTCGTTGGGTTTCATTTTTCCTACGTTATTGTCATTTTTCCAAGCTTCGTTCGTCCATTCTCGCTTTTCACTCATAAATGAACATGAAGTCTTATGTATCCGAGTTTAGCAGTTTTTCCCTTATATTAGCATTAGGTAGCTCTCTTTCTTGCTCCAATTGAGGTTTGTTTTGTGCAAAAAGAGAATGCGACGATGAGATGGGAAAAGGCATTTCTTTCTCTTTTGTGAAACGTGACGATACTTTGCAAAATGAAGTTTAGTACATATTTGCTGTACCCCACTATCTATAAGATTTGGCACTGTAACGATAATCAAAGACATCCTTATACAACTTCTGCTAATTGCGTTTCTTTTCGTTAAA